TTTTAGAACTTTTCACAGTTGAAATTTGGCATAATGTTCCTGTACATTCTAATTGTATTGTAGAACCCAAAAGAAGACTAATCAATCTGATCAAAATGAATCAAATGAATAGATCAATTAATTTGATCGTAAGTGGAAAATTGGAGAATTTGTGAAAAATTTAAATTGAACTTCAATTTTGTTAGTGAAGAGTTTTAGAATAAGGCTCAAGATTTCACTTGAATACTTCCAAAAAATCAAGTTTACACTGAAGAAGGACATTTTGCTTGAATATTCACTGTCCCTATCATATTATGTTAAGAATGTATTTAAAATGTTGTCCACTTCATTTTATTCCCAATTCCTGTTTCTGTCCTTAATTTCATTCTGAAATTTATCATTTTTATACCATTAGAAAATTATTAGCTATGTGAACTCTCCAAAAGAGATGCTGAGATGATCCTCAGACTGCCTTGTAGAAACATCACTAGATGATAGATCCAATTACTCAAAATCTGTATGCACCCCCTGAAAGGGATGTCTTGTTAATATACCCAATCAGAGTTTGGTTTGTGGATTTGTCCACCTTAAATTGATTTAAATCTTAGGACTTAAGGACAGAACAATTCCCTACTTTGTCTCAATATTTTTATTTGATTATTTATTTGTAAATTATTGTATCTATTGTAGATTATTGTATTTATTTTGGAAGGTAATGAGGGTGGTTGGTTTGGCTGTATATACCAGTCATGCCGAACTTGGATTTGACTGACTGTTATTTTGTAATTTTGAGCAAAAAATTATGATTTTGTACACATTTGAGATGAAAATGTATTAAAATATTTGGATAAGAAAAGGAAATGATGTTTAACACCAAAAATTTGTTAGCAATAAAAATTTTAATGAAATTTTATGCTTTTATTTGGGCAAAATAAAAAAATGTTACAGTAAATTAACAGAAAATTTTAAGTTTAAGAAAATGAGATTTAATGAAAAGTAATTGGATTGGTGATATAAAGTTTTGTTTAATTGTATTAGTAGAGTGTATCTCACACTGTCACTCAATGGATATTAGTCTGGTTTTTTGTTGTTGATATATCACATCTTTGTCAAACTATATAAATCAACAATTCAATTTTTCAAAATTTATCTTGGAAGAGAATCTCTTTAGACCTTCCTTAGACTCTCCACCTTGACAATTGTCCCCATGTTTCAGATTTCCCATGAAAGGGCTGTTGATTTATATGTATTTGCCTGTTATGTCTGATTGGAGCTCCAAAATGAGTGACTGCAAATTTCTAATATCTATAGCCCTAAGTTACATCTAAAGGAATATTTTGTATTCAATGTGTGACAGTGTGAATTAATTGTTGTATATATTCACTATTCATGAATTTAATTTTGTTTGTTTGTACATTATTGTGTTTCTATTACATTTGTTGACTTTAATGTTGTTGTTTTGATTTGATCTTATGAATAACTTGGTATATTGAAAGTACCATGCAGAGGTGGGAAAATATGAAAAAAAAACCCAATGGTTAATTAAACAATGCCCAAAGACCTTATTCACTCCTTGTTTTTGAGACACTGTAAGCTAGGTTGATAACACGATGTCATGTGAATGACAAGCCAATTTGACGTTATTATACACTCGCTCAACACCAAGAAAATGGGCTTAAAGGTAAAGGTGAAGGTAAAATTCATGTAAAAGTATCATTAAGTAGTTTAAAAAATTCCAAATTTAATGATGTAAAATATGATTAGTTGTGGGTTATTGAAAAAAAAGCTTTGAAGGTGGTGATTTTATATAGTGACATAATATTACCTTTTTAAGATTTGAGTTATGAGCATCGTTCGATGTAGCCAACCCCTGAATAAGGTGTATAGGACCTGTAGCCTTTAATACAGTACACTTTCTTGTGCACATCACAAAGCTTTGAAGGACAATTCATTGAAGCTACGAGTTGGTCAAAAAGTTATAAGCCCACTAGATAAAACAAATAGCTGTGAAATCTTTGTCTGGTTAGCGACCTTTTTATTATTTAGCGACCCAAAACTGGGTAAGAACTTCCAATAAAAAGTGACATTTTATGTCCAAGCCAAATGATCTTTATTCCTACCAAAGAACAAGTAGGGCCAGATTTGTCGAGGGAGAAAAATGCTGGCCCTGAATGGTCACAAACTTAAATAAGATGGAAACAATACCACTGAATGTTTCTACTTCTTAAAATAAAAGTCATGGAAACTTTTCTTTAACCATAATAATGAAGATTGTAGAGCAGGTGGTTGTCTTTCATGTTAATTTATTTTTATTATTTTATATCTGGTCTCAACCTGATCTGTAGCCTGATAAATCTGGCCCTTTTCGTTCCTCTGACGTCATATACAGATGTGATATTGTCACAGTTAGGTCCAAGCAAAAGGTTTTTTATTTTGTAAAAATTTGGTTATCGATACAAAGCTGATAACCATTAATAAATGCATCAAGACATTTCAGGATGTTCTAAAAGAGTATTAAAACCTCTCAAGGTCATACTATAGAAAATTACACCATTATTATTTTGTTGTGCAATAAACAAGAAATGAAAATAATGTACAATGACGTCAGGCGGTAGATGTAAGTCGCGATGTTTTATAAATTATTATCTTATCATACTTGGCAAGTGGAGAACGTCTTATTTCTAATTGGTTGTTTTTCTGAGTCGTATTTCGGTAATTAAGTTATAAGAATGATGTTTCTACCAGATAGTATTATACACTTGAAACGGTACCAACAATTTACTCGTAATAATCCTGTATCAAATTTGTGACTGAATGAGGCATAAACCCCACTGTAATTATCGCTTCTCAGAACAGTTTTCGGAATGGAACGATGAGTTTTGTGTTAACAGGCAAACATTCTGAAAACTGTTCCAGTTCTGGTCCACACTAAAGAGGTGGTCTCAGAATGGTTCTCTGAACAGATTCCATGTATTTTTCCTATGTAAAAGGTAACTATTTTAAGGACATATTCTGTATCTGAATCCATCTGTGGGTACTTCATCATGGCAGCTTCTACCATAATCATTGGCTTTATCCAATTGGATACTGGAGGCAGCTGAAGGCAACCCCAGTCACGCTTAAACTTCACAAAGTGAACTGTCAATAAGCCCAGATAATTTGATGCTGTCAAAAAATCATTTGACATTCTGTCAAAAGATTAGTCTGTTCAAGCCAGGCTTTCAGATGATATAAAATGATTCAGTTATTTGATTGGTGTGTAAAACGAATTCTAAATTCAGTTTTATTAACTAATAATATTACTACTGTATTTCTTGATATTAACAACGACAAAATATTTTACTGTTAAACTGGATCAATCAATTGTAGAGTGATATAGAAATATTTAAACAAAACTTGAAACATGTGCTATCTTCAGACTACTTTTCATCATAAGTTTTTTTTTTGAACTAAATCAATACAATGTAATAAAATGATCAGTAAGTTTTATCTCTTAAACAAACTAATTATCACTAAGAGTCAAGATTCTTGAGAATTCAACCATGTGTATATTTTCTACAATAACTACTTTTTGCTATAAAATATTGATTGAAATACCTTCTCCTTTCCCCATGATTTACTACTATTTTAAGAATCCTAATCATGCAGAAAATGTAACGTAAAAATTATTCAAGTTGAGATAACGCAGATAACTTTGGATTTTGGCTAAAAAAAAGCAATAAATAGGACATGTAAGTTTTTCTCCTGTCACTAATGTTGGTGATTGACTTACTGTAATACACCTTACAATGTCAAACTATTAAGAATTACATCTTTTACCTTTACTGCATTGCCACCTTCCTTGTATCACGGAATGCATTTGATTTTGTTGGATTGTGCGTTAGCAAATACAGCCAATCAGAGCCTTCGACATATATACTGTAAACATTACAGCTTATTGTTAACAGACTTTCTGTTGAGAGCTCTGAATGGCTGTATTCACTAACATACAATCCAACCAAATTACTGAATTTACAAACTTCTGTGATACAAGAAAGGTAGCTATTGCAGTCAAGGTATAAGACACAATTCTTACTAGCTTGACATTGTGGCGATGATTCAAATGAGACGAGATTATATGCAAAAATACCTCTCAATTGTTTGAAAATGCAAGAGTTACTTTTTGTGGTGGTTTTGAAAATATCATACAGTACAGATGGCCTTCATTTACCAACAACTCGGCACCATAAGTCAACTAGAATAATGAGGAAAGTTGACTCATTTCATTTCTAAATCTCAATTTTATAACATTAAAGAGTATCAAGTGAAGAAAGAAAGATGTAAAACTCAATTTCATTACATTAAAATAGTGCAAATTGAATTTTCAATTTTCCTTCAAAGCTATTAAACTTTCTCCACTCTCACCTATTTTGATATCAATTCAGCAATTATTAGATAATGAAATAAAACAATAAATGAAGTTTGTTGTGAAGTAGAATACCAAATGAAGAATTTTTAATTTATTTTGTTAAATTGGCCCACAAATCAATTTTATTTCTCTAATTTAATTTATTAAATTATCTGGTTCTTGATAAGTTTAATAGAAAATTGATCTAGAATTCTAGACAATAGGTTGCTATGACTTAAGCTTCATGCTTAATTTTCTGAATTAATAATAACCTTATTGAAAAGAGGATAAAAAATTAGAACATAAATAGGCTTACATCAAGATCAGATTCTAAAATACCCACTGATAGGCCTGTTTTTATGTAAACATTGACACATGTAAACATTGAACATTGACGCATGTAAATATTGACACATGTAAACATTATCACATGCAAATATTGACACATGTAAACATTGACACATGTAAACATTGACACATGCGAACATTGACATGTAAACATTGACACATGTAAACATTTACACATGTAAACATTGACACATGCGAACATTGACACGTAAACATTGACACATGTAAACATTGACACATGTAAACATTTACGCATGCAAACATTTACACACGCGAACATTGACACACGCGAACATTGACACATGTGAACATTGACACATGTGAACATTATCACATGCAAATATTGATGCATGTAGACATTTACACATGTAGACATTTACACATGCAAACATTGACACATGTAAACATTGACACATGTAAACATTTACACATGTAAACATTTTCACAAGTAAAAATGAAAATAGTAGCCTATACCATGATTAATTTTAGCATAAAACAAGTGGAGTTCTAAAAATAAAAGACAAAAGAAATGGTTAACAAAAGAAAAAATTTAACATAAAAATACTCAATAACCTTGACTTAATACTAGGAGACTCTGCCAAGAAAATATACAAACTGTTGAAGCTTTGAAAAAAAAAAATTTGTTATATTTCAATTAAAAACATTTCTTAAATAATTTTATTCCATTTCAACTCATTAACCCCTATTAGTCTGGAGTTAATCATGGCCAACATATTTCAACTTATGGTGTGGTTTTCTTTGAATTTTGCCAAAGAAAGTCCACATTTTCTGCATTCATCATTATTTTAGGCAACAATTTTTATCAGGAAGGGGCACCTGCATTTAGGTGAAATATGGGCATCACTGTGCTTTGGGGGCAGAAGGGATATTGTCTGCCCTCTATAAATTTTTTTGTTTTTTTATGTCTATGGATATTTTCAAAGAAAGAATAAGGTATGCTTGTTTCCATGCCATACAATCAGAGTGGTAGAATATTTCATTTAAAGGGCAGAAACTCTAGTCTGATACCCAGACTACAAATAAATTACACTCAGAATTTAACTAAATTTTCTTGAATTTCAAGGGTGTTTTCATTAAGAATTGCTCAATCATGTGACTAACATGACTGACAGCCTGTGTACCAAGTAATTTATATTTATATGTATTTTTCTCTTCCCACATCTTTACCATGATAATTGATATGATTTCACTTAAAAGTGATACTACGTCTTAGAATTAACATCAAATGTAAGAATTTAAAACTTGGCGAATAAGAGCCAGTAGATACACCTGGTGTCATAAATAACATAACAAGATCCTTATATAATCTGATAAATCCAAAAAACTTAGTAAGTATCCATAAATATGCAATTAACTATTGAAAAACATAAACACCAGCAGAAAACTAAATTTTGGGGTCAAATTAATAGGCTTAGTAATAGAAACTATACAGGTTAAACTTTATTTTGATGTAGAATATTTCAAAATCCATGCCACGTATTCTCGAAACGATCTTAGCGCTAGGATGTCCTAGAATCAATGTTAGAAGATAAGGACCTAGGACATTCTTGCGCTTAGATTGTTTCGAGAATACGTGTCCATATCTTTTGGAGTGGGGCTCAATTTCTTATCTATTTATCTATCTAAGTAACAACACAAAATGTAATGGTATATACATACTACCTCTGGGTTTTGTTATTTAAAATGTCTTTGATCACTTAATGTGGATGAATTATTCATACGTATCAACTTATGTAAGTACAGTATATGTTGTGGGAGGAGTCAATATCCACCATTTAATAGTTGCGGTGAGTAAAACTACTAGTACTAAGCTTGATCTACTAATTTTCATTCCTGTCATTCAACAACTAACACTTTTAACTTTACAATAATTAAGTTTTCTTATTATCATAATATATAGTATCATTTTGATTGCCTATATTGATGTCACTAATGCCTGACAAGCTATCTTATAATTATATGATGTTAAAGGATGTTTCAGATACAAAACTTCATCAGGACAACTGCCTAAGAATAGAGATACTATTACATTTGGATTTAGTATTTGCAAAGCAAATAGATCCTAAAAAAATTACAACATTAAATTATTATATTATACAATATATAATAGATTTACCATGTTTTATTTGAGCTAAATCTACTCGCAGAGACCAAGGTAATAGATATTCATGATGTCACGTCATTATGCCTCCAAATAGGCATTTTACTGTAAAAAAATATATCAGTAATGGTAGCCCACTAGCCCATCTGGGATGAAATTGATCAGACTTCGCTGTGTCATAAAAAGTTATTTGGGTATAATCCAATCTTATTGCTGCATTTACAAACTTCCAAATAAGTCAAACTGCAGTCAAAGTATAAGATGAAGTTTGTAGTAGCTTAACATTGTAAAACTGGGATAGGATATAAAGGCAGGACTTTTCATTTTCTAATCAACATAATAACTTACTCCTAATAACCGTAATTTTCTACAACTTTTGTACTTCTGCAGACCTAAAAGAGAAAATGTACCCAAACTATTTGCATCTTAAGGCATCATCTCTAAAGTTATGTCCCTTACTTTGTATATGTTTAAATTCAAGTTGTAGATGTTGCTTTTACTATATAGATTATATTTCTATATGTACTATTTGCTTGATAAAGATTCCTGTATGTGAATTCAAACATTGCTAGAATTAAAGGAAGGAATAGTATTTCTATAGTACATATTCATTGTGTTGAAACATTTTGTACTTTGTTATTAAAGAAGTGTGTTATACCATATTATATTGTGTTTTGTTATATGTGCTCTCAGCATCTTAATATCATTCAAATCTTGTATCTATAATAGTATTATTTTCTCTAATGTTAAGTCTACATCTTAATGTTATTTCAAGATTATAATTAAGATTTTGTTTCTATTTTCCAGCTTCTCACAGTCCAAAAACTCGACGGAAAAAGTTAAATTCTAGGATGAAGAGTTTTTCATTAGACACGCCGGACCCACCTAAACAGCTTCTCGCCATTGATGAAAATACCAAAAAGAAAAGCAGCTCCTTTACCAATAACTGTTTTGGAGGTAAGGTTGAGAACGATGAATTTCTTGTTAACCTCAAAGTTCAAGTATGAAACATGGTTTTGTTTTGCAGGTAATGTGATGTTCCATTGAAAAATCAAATTGTCTGAGAATTTTTAAGATTTCTCAAGTCAATGATACATGTCTCAAATTGAAAAGCAATGACATTTTACACCTATTTTATGTGCCTCATGTGATATTGAAAAGGGTTATTTTCATACAGTGTGAAGTGAAGGAAAATTTCTCATTAATAATGATATATATTGGTTATTGAATTTGTAAGCTACACATCCCTTGTGAATAGTCTGCATATCTTATGTTTATTGTATGCCTGACATACCTTTTGAGAGTCTGCATACTGTTAATTTGGGGTTCGTAATTCCAGATTTCCTTTCAGAGTATTCACATTGCTGATATTTTTGTCTATTTGGTGTTTGGTTTTGTGAATCCAGGCATCGCTTGAGCCGAGTCAAAATGGCTGATTTTCTTTGGAAAAATCAGACAATAATTTTATGTAATTTTTTCAGCATCTGGTTCTTCCGAGTCTTCGTCATCTGCAACGACTCTCCGCCGTAAATTTGGTTTCGGACATCGATCTTGCTCTCTAGAAATAGAGGAGAAAATAAAGGGACATGGAAGTCACAGTCCATCACCGCTACAATCACCTGTTAGCTTTTATTCCAAACGATGGCTTGAGGTATGTTGCTTTAATTCCCAATTTAGTGGAAGACAGTGATACACGTTCAAATGATGCAGCATCAACAATTGGTAAAACTAAAAATTTCTACTGCCTTTGATCGGTTGAATACTAGTTTTTCGTCACAAACTGTCACAAGTTGACTTGTTGTCCATATTATGTTATATATCATAGCAGGGTTGTAGCCACGGTGATCGGCACTGGTCTGCAGTAGCCAGCATTCTGTCTTGAGGTGTGATCTTCACTTGCTTTGCTTTATTCAACCAGCACAACCCTCATGACAACTCCAAATGAGCACCAATCCAGAAAGAGATCATTATAATACCTATTCTGATGTACTAATAAAATTCTATTTTCCAGAAATCCAAGAAGAAAGATAATACAGAGTATATTGTTTTATATCATTTTAAAGGCAAGGAGAAAGATGACCTAGATTTAAGGTAAGAATTAGTTTATAGTTGCTGTATTGTCTTAAAGGCTTTCAACATGTGATTTTCCACCTATTTCTATATGTCTTACAATCAGTGCTTTCAAAAGATTTTTTTAGGACACTCATAGCTTCTTTTTGCAGCATTCTGCTGACATAGAAAAAGCCTCGAAGTTGTTTGTATTGACAATAAGCGAAGACTGTGTAATGCTCCTGTCCTTGCATACAATTTCCTTTTGAAAATGGTTGTGCTCTTCTTGATTAATCCAAGCAAAAGGTGTAAAACTCTGTTTCATTTGAATTTTTCAGAGCTGGATGTAAAGTAACAGTTTTAGATAGTTCTGATCCAGATTGGTGGAAGGTATAACATAGATTTCATTGATTTGATGGCAAAAATGTGTATGATATACGATACCCAATACAACAGTAAAGTTGTGAGGTTCTATAACACAGTCTGTTAGAGAGTCGATTCTTTACATGACATCATTTTTTTTACCATCAACGAAGAGTGGCTGTGGGCTCCAATCTCTATTGACATGTGATAAGTCAACTTCGCTCATAATTCCAGTGGACCCAGATGTAAATGGATTTAGATAATCTAGGAAAGATCAATGAGGTTTGGTCAAGGACAAGCTAAAAGAAAGGATCCTTTATTGTGAGCCTAAGTTTTTATACTTGAAAAATACAGTTGTTTCTTTCTTTTCTTAAAGTAGGATAACTCCTAGCTACACATCTCCACATACTAATTAATATGACCATCTTTTCAGGGCCGATACAACAGTAAAGTAGGATATTTCCCAGCCACCTATCTTCAGAGAATTATTCCAGGACAGAAAGTATTCCAGGTTACCCATACAATGAATCTTAGTGAAGGTTTTAATGGTATGAGGCTTCATAAAGATCAGGTAGGCAAGATTCCACCAACTTCGCCCTCTCCTCTCCCCTCTCCCCATCCTGTGCTCAGTCTCAGTCTCAGTCTCATGCTTCAAATAAAATCATGCAATTCTCTGATTAACCCTGATGATCTGTGTCTTGTTGTCTTGGTAATAAATCATTTTACATAAATTCAAATATGAAAATTGTAAATATAAGATATTTGATGGTAGACCAAACTGTAAAATTTAACAGTTGTCTGTTGATTTATTAACAGAGGAGTGGCATTTTATTTTAATATTTTGTACAGCATTACGCGGGATCGTAATATTGAAAGAGTCAATCATGAGTCTCTTTGTTTTGTTTTTCTCTAAAGTTATATTACATGTTTTATTTTAGATTGTGGTACAATGTGGAGACGAAGAGAATGGAATGGTTCACGTCAGAGCCACCAGCAACAAGGAGGCAGTTTGTCCAAAGAAATTTTTAAATGAGATATCTTCCTGAAGAAGGATTTATTAGCCAATCAGATTGTTTGTTAGATATTGGTTGACCAATCACCGACTTTCAACATCTCAGTATCCAATCAGATTGTTTGTTCAATATTGATGGACCAATCACAGGCCACAGACTTGCAGTCTTATTGCCAATCAGTTAAGGTTTAACTATGTCAATCAAATAGTCAATCAAATACTGGCCGTCATTCTACGTTATCACATATAATAATTTTATTTTCAATTTAATGAAAGGATAAACATACTTTATTTATGAAAATGTTGAAATCAATTCTGATTGGTCAATTGTAGCCTATCAATGATGTGAGAAGAATTATAGCCAATCACAATCAGTGTGATAAAATGATTGGTGAAATCTAACCAATCATAGTACTTGTCATTAAATATTAATCAATCAAAATGATTCCGCTAATATGGTTGTGTACCGTTTTTTTCTTGTGATTTTGATGTTGTATGAAATATTGATTATATCGGTCTATTTTTGTGAAGTTTGTTTTTGCTCAAAAATATTGCGAGCTCTTTAAATGTTGGATTCATTTTGCTCAAATGTCTGTGTTGTTACATTATTTATGGTATCTAGTTTTACCAAGAGAAATGTCAAAGTTTTCAGCCAAAAATTGATATATATGTGTTTAATGTCCCCCACTGTGGAGTTGGGTCACTTTGTATAGAAAGTCACACCCCCAGTATCTATATTGTTTATGCAACCTTTTGAAATTTATTTGTATCAGGTGTAAATTCTTAGATTTCATCAATGTAATTCTACATAACTATTCAGGGTTGTTGCGTACACATTTTTTTCCAGATGTTTCATTTATTTTGATATTCACTCAAAAGTTGTATCATGCATTTTCAATATGATATTGTTATGTATGTATTATTATCTATACATCTGATTGTTGTTGCAAATTTCAATTAATCTAGGCTACAGCTCTAGACAGACATGACTGGAAAATACAGTCAAATTAATAGCCTACTCTTTTAGTAAAGACAAACATTCTTAGACAATTTAGACAAGACTGGCAAACACAACTGCATATTAGAGTTAAGAATTAATATTCCAGAATTATAATTTGTTGCCAAAAAAGGAGATTAAGGGCATTTTATTTTTATTGTAATTATTCAACAATCGTATATTGATTAGTTTAGGTGTGATAACAATGTAAGGTGTTAGTAGGATTTATGGTGTTAGATTATCTATACAATTGAAAATAAAACCCTACTGATCCGTCATCTTCACTATGTCAAGCTATTACGTACTTTGTCTAATACCTTGACTGCAATAGCCACCTTTCTTGTATCACAGAAGTTTGCAAAGATTCCAATCAGAATCCAATCAGAGCCCTCAACATTAAACAATTTTGAAGCACATGTAATCACAACTATGATTGACTGTATTGGCTTGCGTACAATCCAATCAAATAGCTGCATTTACGAACTTCCGTGAAACAAGAGAGGTGTCTAACACAGTCAAGGTATTAGATGCAGTTAGTAATAGCTTGACATTGTGAAGATGTTAGTTTGTATATGATTTATTTCTTCAAGTTTCTAATGTAAATATTTTCATTTATTAGTTTAAAGAGTAAAGTGATTTTGTTGACAATGAATATCATTGTTCTATGATGATTTTTGATATTTTTTGTTAAATTTTAGATGTTTTTATTGTATATATTATTTTGATGTTTGGGTATTTCACTTTCATGTTCATTGTGCACATTACCATGCTATGTAGAAAGAAATAACTGGGTGGACTTGAACACATTTTGAATACCTCATGATGAAGCAAGTAGAAATCATACATTATGATATGATATTATATAGGCACTAAGTACTATATCTTATAAATTTAGTCAAGTTGTTTGAAGAAACCCTTTTGATATTTACTGAAAGGCAATAGAAACATTTTATGCTTGTATCATATTTATGTATCTTTTGTTTTCAAATGCTTATGCATATAAGTAAAGACATTGGAGTAAAGACATTGGAGTAAAGACATTGGAGTAAGTCAGTGATAAATGGATTTAAAGGCAACAAAAAGTGCAGTAGAATGATAGATGATGAGTTTATTAACAGTGAATAAGTAACTGTTAAGTTTTATCAGTATTTTCAGAAGCAATGTTTCTATTGCCTATCAGTATACAATGTAAAGTTAAAAGGTAAACTAAAACAGGGTATTTGAATATGATTTTATCTTAGTGATTATTATTATTATTATTGTTGTTATTTTAAAGGGGCTGTGCCCTGTCACTGATTATTTGTTATAAATTGTATATTTTTGTTGATTCACATACACCCCATTCTTTCATTCTTGTTTTTGTGATAAAGGTTTGTGTCCGTTGCTGGGGCAGATGAGGTTCAGTGGGTCGGAACAATCCTGAATCTGATGGATCAAAATTCCAAAACCTTACTTAAACTTAGGTTTAATTTTTGATGAACCCTAAATCACTATATGTACAATAAAATATCAGACATGCAAAAACTAAATTTCTTCAATGAGCACACAAGCTTATTATTGAAAGTTAGTCTGCATCTTCAAAACTTGCTGTCCTGATATGGATTGTGTATCTGAAACAGGTGTTAGTAGCATGATACGACTTTAAGTTATTTGAATACAGGATTTCAACTGGATAATATCATTGATAACTATCAATTTTTTAGTTTTAGATTTTTTAATGGAATTTCATCGAGCACCCCTTACCCTAGACACCCTTTACCTCAGCAACAGGCCACCAGAACACTGTACATAATCAATCACTTGCATATTGATTACTTAAAGCTGTACTGAAGATAGAAAAACATTTCACTTTGATATTTCTTAAAGCTATACTGAAGATAGAAAACAATTTACTTTGATATTACTTAAAGCTATACTGAAGATAGAAAACAATTTACTTTGATATCACTTAAAGCTATACTGAAGATAGAAAAACATTTCACTTTGATATTACTTCAAGCTGTACTGAAGATAGAAAAACAATTCAATTTGATATTATTTAAAGCTATATTGAAGATAGAAAACAATTTACTTTGATATTACTTAAAGCTATACTGAAGATAGAAAAACATTTCACTTTGATATTACTTCAAGCTGTACTGAAGATAGAAAAACAATTCAATTTGATATTATTTAAAGCTATATTGAAGATAGAAAACAATTCAATTTGATATTACTTAAAGCTGTACTGAAGATAGAAAAACAATTCAATTTGATATTACTTAAAGCGGTATTGAAGATAAAAAACAATTCAATTTGATATTACTTAAAGCGGTATTGAAGATAAAAAACAATTCAATTTGATATTATTTAAAGCTATATTGAAGATAGAAGAACATTTCACTTTGATATTACTTAAAGCTGTACTGAAGATAGAAAACAATTCAATTTGATATTATTTAAAGCTATATTGAAGATAGAAGAAAGAAGAACATTTCACTTTGATATTACTTAAAGCTGTACTGAAGATAGAAAACAATTCAATTTGATATTATTTAAAGCTGTACTGAAGATAGAAAAACATTTCACTTTGATATTATTTAAAGCTGTACTGAAGATAGAAAACAATTCAATTTGATATTACTTAAAGCGGTACTGAAGATAGAAAAACTATTCAATTTGATATTACTTAAAGCTGTACTGAAGATAGAAAACAATTCAATTTGATATTACTTAAAGCGGTACTGAAGATAGAAAAACTATTCAATTTGATATTACTTAAAGCTGTACTGAAGATAGAAAACAATTCAATTTGATATTACTTAAAGCTATACTGAAGATAGAAAACAATTCAATTTGATATTACTTAAAGCTGTACTGAAGGTAGAAAAACAATTCACTTTGATATTACTTAAAGTGGTACTGAAGATAGAAAACAATTCAATTTGATATTATTTAAAGCTATATTGAAGATAGAAAAACATTTCACTTTGATATTACTTAAAGTGGTACTGAAGATAGAAAACAATTCACTTTGATATTATTTAAAGCTGTACTGAAGATAGAAAACAATTCAATTTGATATTACTTAAAGCGGTACTGAAGATAGAAAAACTATTCAATTTGATATTACTTAAAGCGGTACTGAAGATAGAAAACAATTCAATTTGATATTATTTAAAGCTGTACTGAAGATAGAAAACAATTCAATTTGATATTATTTAAAGCTATATTGAAGATAGAAAAACATTTCACTTTGATATTACTTAAAGTGGTACTGAAGATAGAAAACAATTCACTTTGATATTACTTAAAGTGGTACTGAAGATAGAAAACAATTCAATTTGATATTATTTAAAGCTGTACTGAAGATAGAAAACAATTCAATTTGATATTATTTAAAGCTATATTGAAGGTAGAAAAACAATTCACTTTGATATTACTTAAAGTGGTACTGAAGATAGAAAACAATTCAATTTGATATTACTTAAAGCTGTACTGAAGATAGAAAAGAATTCAATTTGATATTATTTAAAGCTATATTGAAGATAGAAAAACATTTCACTTTGATATTACTTAAAGTGGTACTGAAGATAGAAAACAATTCAATTTGATATTACTTAAAGTGGTACTGAAGATAGAAAACAATTCAATTTGATATTATTTAAAGCTACACTGAAGATAGACAAACATTTCACTTTGATATTACTTAAAGCTAAAGTTGAATTTTTATAATCTTTGAAGAATATATGTTTTACTGCAAGATTTGTTTGATACAGGTTTTAGAGCAAAGAATTTGAGCAATCCAGTCAAAAGTGCAAATAATACCGAGATTGAATTAAAACAGAAATTTATTATCATATCTTAAGTTGCGCTTAAAACAGCGCTTAAAACATTAATCCTTCAGAAAAATAGTTGGGTGAATTCTTGACTCAAGAAAAATAAATTCAATGTCTACTTACAGCTATATTAAATCAAGTTTATTAACATGGAAACTCACATAGTTTGGAAAATAAACAAGTTTCCAAAAGACCTAAAATTTACGAGAGTCTCCTTTGTTCTTGTGAAAAATAAAATCTGCCAATTCTCGGATTGCTATTCTTCCATCACACTTCTCCTTGACTCCTCTCACCGAATTATATGGGGGAGGTGGGGTGTCCGGGTAGGGGTCTGAGGAGGCATACTGTCTAACATGGGAGGTTAAATCCTGGCATAGGTCGAGATATACCTTCAAATTTTACAACCCTCTCAATGATATGGGTCGAAGGATATGGAAATAGCTTTCAGTTTTTGGGACAATATACAGAAACCTCACGTGCTACAAGCTTGCACGCTAAAGGTCTCGGTTGAAAATGTCACTGTCCTCGTTGCACACTGCATGGTCTTGCCCGTTTTGCAAGGTACAGGTGCAGAAAAGTAGAAATAGTTGACACAGTCCTTTTTTAGTTGACCCTACTTGCTTAATACCGCAAGCAGCAGCTGTGTAGGCTAAAGCTACGAACTAATGAAGCCATAATAAGCTGGAGAAACTTACCTACAAAGGAGGCATAGCGCAGGTACCGTTGGGGTGCCAGTAAGAACCTTGGTAAAGAAGGGGGGGGGGGGGATTAGTCTACCCGAGAAGCCTCATAAAACAATATATATCCAACCAAATAATTCATTGAATTAGCTTAAATTTTGTCGACAACTCTCACCAAGTGGAACAACCAATCTCTCCAGGCCGATCCAGATCTCCAGACGTGATACTCGTAAGCTTTAACCAGTTTTTCAGATATGATAGTCTTTTGCTCAACTGGTATTTTAGACGAAATATAGACTCTTGCTCTAAACAGTTCCCCAGGCGTGATCTTGTCCCAAAGCGTGATAAAGTCTCTTGTCCTAACCAATTCCCAGACGTGATATTCGGGTGTGATATGTCTTGTCCTAACCAATTCCACAGACGTGATATACGGGTGTGATATGTCTTGTCCTAACCAATCCGTAATTTACGGATGGGTTAAACAAAAACAAGAAACATCTAAGCTGGTAGAGAAAAAGGGGGCAGTGTGGAAATGTAGGGAGATTTCTAGAGTGGAATATGTTTGTTTCAAAAGCAAAAGCACAAAATATAATATTTCATTGGACCCACAGTTATTCTTAGACAAATAGTGTCGAGATGAAAATTTTATTTTGAATATTTGTGACATGACAAAAAATTTAACTCTGAGCTGACAGTGGTCACTCGGTCAGAGAGTAAAAGGACCCCCACCCCTTTCTGTGGCTTAAATTTAATCTAGGTTAGAATTGTAAACAAAATCTTACTCATAGCCATTTAATGCCCGAGATATTGGACGAATAGAAGTGAACAATGGGGAGAATTTGCATCAGAATTAAACTGTTATTGATTTATAAAAGACAGATACGAAACGAGTTAAAATTTTAAACCGTAATTACAAATCGATGGACATCTGGTTTTGTAAAATTTAATATTGTTATTATTGAAGGGAAACATTCACATAATACAATCATTACATCCTGTATATGGGATTAGTGAGCTATTTACACCATCTAGGCTGGCACAAAATATGCTTCCCAGTACCCCCACTGGCGCCGCCACTGGTTTACCTGAAGACTGGCAAGAGTTACAATTGATGTCTACCTATAACATGGTAACGCTTGCATAATTTGTTAAAATCAAAATCAGCATGAAAAAAACATTGCTTGACATGGCTTTAATTCTCGGCTGTGAATTGACATAAAACTGGTCCAGCTTAGCTCTAGCTGTTACACTTTAGTTGAATTGCTCGATAACCTGAAGTATATTTTTGATTGTGAAAGGGGTAGGCCTACAGATAGCAAGCTCCCTATTTGCTCCCTTGACAAAAATTCCTCCTATTGGTCTGCCGATTCCTCCCTTGGGGAGGAATTCCTCCCCTGTTGAGAAGCACTATTTTAGACAACTGTATCCTTGCATTGTTTTACCAGTTCAATTTAGGAATATATTTACATTATGTATATTGGTAATTATTTTTTACTCGAAACAGTTCCTTTGTCTTAAATGCCTATTTCGAAATATAACTATAATTTATTTTCTAAAAGTTACATTTCACCATTTCTGTATTAAGACCCTGTAGCTGCGCAGTTTCTTATGTTAATTTTTGTTGCATATCAAAGGTGGTTTGAGAATCAATTAACATTCTATAAATCCAGTTTTCAAACTGTGGATTAGTCTGTGACACTTTTTGCCAAGAAATTAGGCGAGAAAAAAAGTACTGAGTTTTTCCATAGTCCGACTGTGAAAAAAGTTTAGATTTTGGATTTCGTATGATACATTATTTTGTTTAAAAATTAGGATTTATTTTTGACAATTACCGCTGAAACGATATGATCGGTTTTCCAAATGAAATTTTAATTTTCGAAAATTGTTGATGATGTTATTAATGAACAAAATGTTAGTGATATTTATTGTGTTTTTGTTGACTATAACAGACTGTCAGGCTTCATCTGCTACCGACTGCCTGAAAAACTACGGAAGGAACATTTCTCATTTTGCCGTTCTCCCTGGATTCGGTTGGGATAATCTCCGGAACGTGGAGGTGTCCAGAGTCGTGGAATTTAATTACTCGGAATGTCAGTTGACAAATGATGGATTATACTTTCTTCCTAATGGCATCGACACCATTCCACTCAAACAGAGCACACTGGACCAATCGTCGGAAATATTCCAGACTTTTACGGAATATTCCAGCGCCACAGCTAAATCTGTCAACGAGAATACTGGATTTCATTTTCCCGGACAAAGAATAAGTGGGGCGTTTTCTGACAGTTTCCTAAAGTCTAGGAACATCCAGATAATGGAGAAATCAGTTGTTGTCCGATCACAGATCAGATACGTTAAATATAAGGCTAAGTTACAACCAGATGCGATTTTGAGTCCGGCCTTTAAGTTGGCTTTGTTAAGCATATCTCGTCATGTTCTGTTCAACCGTACCGAGATGGCGCGGTATGAGAGCCAGGTGCTTGTCCGCGATTTCGGTACTCACGTCATCACCAGTCTAGATGCCGGAGCCGCTTTAGTTTTGGAGGACCATCTTAAATCTGAATACTTCAAGGAAGCCAAAAAAGAAAACATTTTATTGGGAGCAGGTGCTAGTTTGAGTGAAGTGACTGGTGTAGGAATGGGTTCCTCTACCAATACGAACCCATCCACTGGCGAGTACAAGACAAACCTGGTACACTCATTCGTCCAGACGTACGGTGGCTCAATGTTCATGACCGGAAACGGAAGCTCATCCTGGTCGACCAATCTTGAAAACCATCTTGTTGCAGTTGATAGAGAAGGAATACCACTTTATAATTTCGTCAATCTTCAAACTCTTCCCTCCATCCCGTCTTCAATCCTATACGACGTAACATCATACATAGAAAACGCAGTGAAAAGCTACTACGTCTACAATTCCTACCCAGGATGCACGAACGCCATCGATTCCAATTTCAATTCGCAAACTAATTTTGACGACGGAAGTTGTAACATTACAGAGGCAGAAGTTTATTTTGGCGGGATTTTTCAAATGTGTGATGTAACATCAGACGAGGCGGGAGACGTCTGCTCCCATCTGAAGCAGCCACACCTAAAATCTCAAGGATTTATCTGTCAAACGGGTTTCCAAGGCAGGCTGATTTACCGATCCCATTACTCCAAAACTTCGTCCAAAAGAGTTTGTAAGAAATGTTACGCCTTTTTCAACTGCTGCGAAGATGAACCTATTTCCTCCAGTGCGGATCTGAAATCCTTCTGGTGTGCGGCTGAAAGTAAGGCCAACACACAACCGTATTATTTCTCTGGAGTATATTCATCCATTTTGGACAACGTTTTCACGAAATCTAAAAGTTGTCCGTTAAATTCGCATTCCAGATTGATCGGCGATGATATCCACATTTGCCTATCGGATGAGGAATCCAGTTCGGCTGTGAAATTTGGAGGAATGTTTAGTTGTTTGGGTGGAAACTCGCTAGCTACAGAATCGGCAAATAATCCTAAAGCATGTCCCAAAGGATTCAGTGCTCGTCTCGCTGGTGTGATTCAAGACTGCGCTATCCATTATTGTGTTCCTCTGGGGTCTCTTCCCATCGAAGATTCCACTGTCACTGTGCGTCGTCCACCGTTCGCCCCCAAAATCAAGCTCTACCCATCTACCGAAGGCGGGGACAATCCGGTTTACGACCCGGAGAAGCAGGAATGGCTGTCGGATCTGGAATCACGTGAGTTGAAAGAGACAGAATCCGTAGTGGAATTGTCTGCAGCAGAAGCAGCAGTAATCGCCATCTTCGTAACTATTATCGTACTTGTATTGTTGGGCTGTATTGTTTATTTCTACCGTAAGAGTCAACGAAGATACCCAACTAACCGCGGGAGCGGGACATCAAATGGAACTGTAGAAGCGAACTTGTGAAATCCAACCCGCCGAAAACCGAAAAAATCCAAAACTCCAGAACTTATCAGCCATGTTCGGAAAGATTCTCAAGGACGCCCATATTATCTTAACGGGGCGTACAGAACTATGGTTTTGTAAGGCAGTCCGTTTAAATAAAACTAGTCTCAAACCTGCAGCTGATGTATATTAGACAGTAGTGAAGTCTAACCTATCTTCACTCTATCCAGGCATTTTGAACTGTGTATAATACCTTGACTACAATAGCCACATTTATTGTATAACGTTTATAAATTTTGTTCCGTTGTATGGAAATTAGAAATCCATTATATTGGCAATGACATTTTTGGAACTTATTTTTCTTCCGGTTTGTCAATTTTATACTACCCTATACTAGGTTTAGGTTTCTTGGTGTGTAAAATCCTAAATATTTATGGAACAAGTTGAATTATGTATTACTAACTATCACTTTTCTTATATTTTTAAACATATTTCATAATTTTTAAATAAGAAAATAACTTACAGATAGATTGAAACATAGACAGGCAGTAATAACTTAACTTTTGATGTGAAATAATCATTGACATTTTTTTTATGATTTCATGACAGCTTTAAATCCCCATATTCTTTTATTTGATGTAGATTTTGAAAAATTTTATTGACATATATGTACTCAAGGATTTAGATTTGGGTTTATTTATCACACACATTTATCGGTTTTCGGTGGTGGACTTTTTACGGACGTGAATTTCGGGTGCATTGTATGAAGCATTCTTACAATTATACATAATAGCGTTTTCATAACATTTTTTCATTTTCATGGTAGTTGTAAAGGCCTGAAGATACAGAGTACGGTTTGCGGTGCGGCGTCCGGTCTACAGTTGTGGTCTTTGGAACTTAAATGCCTATTTTGTTTTCTAATAAGATCCGGCGAAAGAGGCATGGTTTTCTAAAAGGACTAGGCTTGGATTAAGTTTGAATGTTAGAGATGATAATGACTCGACTAGGAACTGGCTGCTGATTGACCCAGACTCATCCGGAGCTTTAGAGGCAGTCACTGCGGCGCGGCGTCGGGTCTCCTCATTTTACGCTGCGGTTACGGGCTGTGTATGAATGGATATATGGAAACCCCTTGAGGCATTCTGTACGGAAAACGCACGCTGGACGCCGCACCAGAAACCGTATTCATTATGCTCAGGCCTTAATTCATTGAACTATTTTTTTTCGTTTTGTTGTGTTTTGATCTATCGCTTCCAGATTTAGATATAAGTGAGTTTTTGCGTTAAAGATACAGTTGAAAAAGAAGAAAACGATTGCACGAGGTTCGGATGCAGACACGATTCTATTCGCTGGTCCTTTTTTTTTACTGCACCCTTATCCCACCATGCACTACACTGGTCAAAGCACCTCATCCAGAGGCTCAAGATGTTTAGGGGCCCGTGGATTTTTGGTCACTCACCCGGAAAATTTCCATGTATTTGGGCCTTCACAGCCAGTCATAGCTGAAATAGGACTTGGTTCAATTAGCGGTAAGACGATCCAATTGTCGGGTTAGAAAATTAAAATTTGCGTTTGGGAAGACTAATGCCCCCTGCATGAACAATATCTTCACTATCGAAGTAGAAAAATTGGACACAAAACATTTCATTGCAATCGTCACATACCTAACACCATTTATTGCATTTATTTTTTACACGATAAACTTTATTCTATTTAGATCAATCATTTCCTTTTTTTGTAAATAAATAACTAAAGTAAATTAGCCGATATGTCGTTGTGTTTGATTAATATGATCGTCTTCCGTACATTAAAGACCTCAATTAAGAGTGGCAAGACAGGAATTAAGGAGAGCTTTTGTTCTGTTGTTCAATATTAAAGTAGAATGTATAAAAAAAAATACACAGTACCTTCACTGTTTAAATTTTATATAGAAGAAAAACAGTATTATGAAAGATAAAATGTAACAGATAACAATAATCTAAGAATAAGACACTCCCATTTGTTTCAAGGCTTGAGACATGATAAACATTATATCCAGCGTATCTTCATGATTCATCCATTTACTCTCCAGTAATCCTGAAACACAAATAGATACGGGCACATAAGCCAATTTGACAGCAAATGGATCCACCAGTGCAAATAATCTGACAAAATATGAAAGATTTCAATACAGAGGATATGATCGTTGCCAATGTACAACCACACAGTCAAATTTTTTTTTTTAGCTATTTCTTATTTGCTGCAATCGGAAGAAAAGAAGCTTCGTAATCCAGAAAAGGGTCAAAGGTCATATCTGTTGACATAAAAGGGAGATAACTCACCTTCTTTTAAGCATTTTCTGACTTCGTTGGCTTCAAAATGGAATCCTTGACTATTTATATAGTTGAGGGTGTATTTTTCTTTGACTGGTATCAGGGGATATTTCTTGTTCTCTCCATTAACTACAACCTCAGTTGGACACCAACATGGATCATTTACCTTGAAAAAAAAAAACATGGTTGTAGGCTAGGTGTTTAGAAGGAAGGGAGTGGAGATGTTTAATTCAACAGCAATAAGCAATATAGACCTTTATTTCATAAATTGAGACATCTTCACAATGTCAAGCTATAAGGAACTTTATTATATACCTTGACGTCATTAGCCACTTTATTTGCAAACAGAATGCAGCAATTTGATTGTAAGCCAGCGAATATATCCAATCAGAAATGAAATAAAATGAATCGAGTTTTATGTCCTACTTTTATACATCTAATTGGGCAAATTATTATAAAATAAAAAAATCTCTTAAACGGACCTGTATTGAGCCCTTTGTTCCCATGATATGGAAGAAATTATAAGAATTGGTGACTTCTGTATTGTAATGTAATGTGGCAATTCGACCATTGGAATATTTTAATATCAAGCTACCACATAAATCTACACCTAAAACATATAATTCACAACACAATGTCACAAATCCCATAATACATCAATACAGAAAGAAACACAATTGAAAAATCAGAAGAGAAAAGGAGAACGTAATTTCTTGTCATTTTATAGAGATAATAACTGAGCACAATAGCTAGCACTTCTAAATTTAGTAATTTACATGAGTGAAAATTTACATGCTACATTTTTTGTAGTAAAGGCTTGTGATGTGATCTTTATTTGACAGAGCATGATAGCTTTAAGTAAGATCAATCTTTTGTTAGTTTTTTATATTTACCTTCTTCACTGAGAAAGCCTTGAGCCGTGATGGATTCTGGTCGTCCTTTAAAAAACATATTGGTTAATAAAATGGGATAAATTCCTACATCTAACATTCCCCCTCCTCCTAATTTTTTGTATTTTATTCTCTCAACGTCCACGCTACAGACATTAAACTGACCAATGACCGACTTGGCTTGACCAATATCTCCACCAGATACCATTGACAATACATCTTGATGTAATGGGAAAAATCGTGACCAGCAAGCCTGAAATAAATATAAAGATAATGACTGACACACAGGTTAGGCCAGTGCTTTTTTGAGAATTTTTTTTTTTTTTGCCAAAAAATAAAATGAAATGACATGCAATCACTGCATTTACAAACTAATGTGATACAAGAAAGGTGGTTATTGCAGTCAAGGTATTAGATGCAGTTCAAAAGTTTTAAATACTGAAGATGAACCGTCCCAGATTTCCTCGAAGTTTGAAAATTTCTAAACAAAGGGAAGTAACTCACCTCTAAATAAAACAGTTTTTTAGTTTTTGCCACTTGAAGAACTTCCTCTGTATCCTGATAGGTGCATGATGAAGGTTTTTCACATACGACATGTTTTCCGTGGTTCAGGAATAGTATAGATAGAGATTTATGGTAGGTGTGGATTGTTCCTATATACACTACCTCTATAACATCAATAAACAAATTTGATTGGTTAATAAGCTAAGGGTAAAGGAATGAAAGTTTACTTCCTGCAAGGGAGTTTTACCTCCTTCTCCTTCTGTGCTTGTTTGGACTATCAAAAACTGAGAATGTCATGCATTATGCAATGAGGGGGAATTTTGTCTTCCTTTTGCACAATTGATTGGACTGTTAAAGAGAGGCTATGTCATGCATTGTTCAATGAGGGAAAATTTTGTCAGTACATACATTGGCATTAGTCTACTTTTTCCGATTTCCTACTGTTTACAAATCTTTAATCTGTACAGTCTGAAGAGATGCATGTGTACAGGTCAACAAAAATCTGGATACAGGCCTTGAAAAATCTGGAGATTGGGGTAAAAAATTTCAAGACTTTTTCAAAGAGTGGTAGCACGAAGGGTCTCAGTTAGTTGTTCCATCTAAACCCTAACTAACCTATGTTTGGATCATTAGCTAATTCTTCATAGCTTCCATATGCAGTTGGAATATCGAAATGATCAGCAAATTGTTTGGCTTTATCTAGATCTCTAGCTGCTACTGCTACAACCTACAATATTATATTGATAATGCGGAAAAATATGACCAAAATATTTGTCATAATGCACAGAACCAATTTCATTTCTTCAAAATATTTTCCTGGGGGAGTACCTCTCATATCCCCCATTGGGGGCTTGCACCTATGACACTTCAGCATTCTAAATATCAACCCGAACAATGGTCCCCCAATTCAATTCAGTCTGCTCCCTATTTGTACCTACAGTCCAAGGCAACTGATGATAATATAAAATTTGATGGGTGTACTAACCTGATGCTCTGTATCAGGAGTTGATTCTAAACAAGCTGTGAAATCATTTGATATTTTACCAGCAGAACAAATTCCCCATTTAGTTGCCATTTTCTTGGTGGCTATATTAAAATAAAAGCTAATAAAATACGGAGCAAAAGTATTGTCTAATTTAAATTAGACTGGATCAAGTTAGAACTTAATTAGATAAATAAAATAGGTATCTAAGATTCATGTAACCAGTACATGGTTTGAGGAATCAGATCTACTAATCACCAAGCAAAAGACAAATCAAATTGTTACTAATACTGTTCCCTATCTCTCACTCAGTGTGTTCACATATTTAACTATGTATCCTATTATGATATTGGAAAATTATTCCAAAAGATTTGAAAGTTTTCTTCTGGATAATATTCTTGTTGTCAATTTCTTGCTCCTCTTCAGTGAATCTTCTCACTTTGCCTCTTTTAATTCCTTTATAAAAACATTAGCCCCCATATCCTGATGAGGATTTTATATCTTAGACTAAAACATGAGTCTGAGGCACAAAAAAGGCCAGTTGTGGCTCCCATGCCACCTCACCCCAAGACCCACAATTTGGGTCTATGTTATGTAATAATATTGAAAGAATACTCTTTCAATCTGCAGAATTTAAGCCCTTTATTTTCAAACAAATTTTCCCCTAATCCACCTTAGAAAATAGTTTTAAAAATAATTTTTGTGGTACCAAGAAGATCTAGTCAAAAAAAGAAAAATATACAACATTCAAATATTACTAACCCTAAGAGATGAAGATACAAATAACAGTATATAAAGTTGTGGACTGTTTTGTGGTAAAGTTTAATCTGAATAATGGATAACCTGAATCCTTGACCAACTACCACAGATAAGAACTGACCATGTATTCAACAAATGAATGCTTTTATCAGAATATCTAAAAATAATTTTTAATTTCTATATCACTTAAAGGGAGAGGTTCACCAGTTGCAGGGGTTGATTCGGGTAATGATATAGTCTTCAGAAGTACTAGAACTTTACAAAAATCACATTATCCTTTCAAATATACTTCAAGCTAGAAATTTCACTCTTTTTTTGTATAGCTGTCTTATCTATATGGCAGTCTCAAGAATAAAACAGTCTTCAAACGTGGATAATCCTGGACACACATGGATTTGAAGACTCCAATTTCAACGGTGATATATGAAGCCTATTACTGATTAGCTTAGGTAAAGAAATCTGGTACGTTCTGTTGAAACGGAGAGCGAATCTATCCCTTTATAAGACTAAAATGTAGTTAATAAGGCGACTTCTCTAACCTGTACCGTATGAAATAACAAACTGACTAACGACATTATCGTTTATAAAGGTAAATACATGTCATGAAACCTGACTCTACAATACGGTACAGGTTATTAGAGATACCTGTGGAATATTGTCATTCCTGAAAGAAAAAGACCAACTCACCTGTTATTAAGGTTGTGGATTAGGTAAATTCTGGGAGAGAACTGTTAGAAAATGATGCAAGGGAGGCCCTTTCCCCCCCCCCCCCCCCCCCTCAAAAAAATTAATAAGAATTTGGTCTTATACATGCAACATTAGCCACCAATTGGCTGACCCCCACCACCCACCCCACCGTGGAAAATTTGGTGGCCCCTGCTGGCCCCCTTAGCTTAATACCTCATTGAAAAGCCGCTGACACGGAGCTCATGAGCCCAATCAATGACTGTGGGTTGTAGGCTAGACTTTTTCAAGCCTTTATCGGGTTAAAATGATGACTTTATAATCATGTACTGATAAAAGATCAGGGACATTATCAATGATCAATTAATTTTATTATCTATTTATATCTACATTATGATTGTGAAATATGAAGAGGTTTTCTAAATTTTATATGTGTATCGGGACATTGATAGCATCGTTTTACATTCTTGTGAAAATGTAGTATTGATATTTATTGTGTCAGTTTTCAAAACTCGATTCTTGGGTAGATGCCACCGTCCCTTAAAGTCTTAGAATGAATATTTAATTTAAGTTTTGGAAAAGGTCAATATTAGTCTATATTCATCAGTTATCTTACCTGGTGTCATAAAGTTACAACAGAATCCCTTGAAATCTGGAAAATTGGAAAATTCATAAAAATAAGTAATTATTGAAAAACTCTTAATCTTGATATTAAGCGTTTTTCAATAGCCTAGTTAATTGCATATTTATGGATACTTACTAAGTTTTTTGGATTTATCAGATTATATAAGGATCCTGTTATGTTATGTATGACACCAGGTATTTCTACTGGCTCTTATTCGCCAAGTTTAAAATTCTTAAATTTTTATGTTAATTCTAAGACGTAGTATAACTTTAAATAAAGAAATATGTACTAATTGCAGACATGTTGAAGAGACAAAGCATGTGCAATGGCTCAACTACCATAAGTAGAGATTGATTGACCCAAGTCCACGGGTAGCCATCCCATAAAGGTCCCCACCCCAGAAAAAAAATTATCAAAATAATGTATCAAAGTAAGTATATAAAAGGTTAATCCAATAAAGTCCGTGAATCATACACTCATCTGCTTGAGCCACTGTGCATATGTAAATTCACAAAAATTGCTTTAGAATATCATGCTGGGCCATTATGGTAGATGCTTTATATATGTACATGTATATGTTTTTCAAGTTATCATTATAAAGTTGTTAATCGAAAAAAAAACCCCTTTTTTAAAAGTATGTTGTGGGTGACTATAAAATATAGTACAAGTAGACAAACAATATAAAATACTATTCAAATTGCCGATATTATAGTGTGTTTTTCTAGTGAATGGCCGAAATTGCCATGGTTATTAAAATTATTATAACGTCATGATTTTAAATGAACCAATGAAAATCGAGTATTAATGACAATAGTATATCATACTATATGGTATTATGATAGAATCTTTATCTTTTTATCAATAAACATGTTTATAGTTAACAACATGTGACAAGATATTGCACGTTCATCTCTCTACACGTCCATTCTTGTAGTAAAATACACCTGTCGTGTTTATGGACTGTGAACTGTAATATATCAATAATCTATAACATACCATATATAGAATATGTTATGAAATGGTCGCTTAGCAACAACCAATCACTAGCCAGTATTCAAATCTAGTGTCGACCAATCAGGATCGAGTATTTTAAAATAACCCCTTCTTCTTTGTTTAAAAAATCAACCAACCGAATTTTACTATCGTCAAATTTACTACTCCATAACTTTTCAAATTACTCAACATGGCTTCCAGAAATTCTCGATGAAAATTTGACAATTGTTGTGAAATTTTAGTGAAAAGTGTTCAGAGGATTGAAGCGGAGTAGAATTCAGGGTGTTGGAACAAAGATTGGTGATTTGGGTGTATATTTGAGTAGTTGTCATTCCGAATTGCAATCAACCGGCCAAATCAGCTGAGATTTTGTGGTTTTGTGTTTCAAGGACATTGTAAAAGATTGCCGAATTTGTAAGGGAATTTCATAATGGAGTACTTCAATAATTTGGAAAATGACAACAACATGTCGTTGATTGATACCATCGACTCAATGACGAGTGAAGAGCGACATGAGTTGGATATATTTTTGAATTCCGACCGACAGGACTGTGCCATGGATATAAATTTAAAAACAGAACCCAATTGTGGGTTACCAGATTTTGACCAGTTAGATTCCAATACAGACTATAGTTCTTTAAATTGGCTTCAACCTAATGGTTTGGGAAATTTTTCAGAGGAAAGCGAGAGTGAAAATACAGACCCTAATTTATTGGTAAACCCACAAACTGTTATTCCAGTGGACATTTTTGTGAATTCATCAAATGGAAGTGGCAATGCAACTCTATCTAGTATCAATTCTTCTATTGCTCAAATTTCTTCTCAAAATAACATTCAGATAGTAACAGTTACTGCCCCTGGCATTGATGTAACGTCTAATTTAATAAATAACAACACAGTTCGATATCAAACTGTTAATTTCACATCGCAAAATAACCAACCACAACTGACAAAAACTATCATGTCTCCCTCCTTAAGCTCTCCAGTATTAGTTGGACATTTACAAAATGGTGTTCCCCAGTCTAGATCTGTGATTAGTTTACCAGCCGTCCAATCTGCCATCGAACAAGGGCAGGAGGAGGAAAAGAAAAAACAGGAAAAAGTGTTTCCGAAACCAGTTTATTCCTATAGTTGTTTGATTGCTCTGGCTCTTAAAAACAGTGACAGTGGCAATCTACCTGTTAGTGATATTTATACCTTTATGATGTACGTCTAGTTTTTATATTGTTCATTTTTTAACCAAATATCAGTATATCAATAGAATTCTATAAAGATGTGTAATAGCAACTGTATTTTTATTTTTTTCATTTCAATTTCCAACATTTTCCAAGTAATTTGATTTTTGTTTTAGATCCACTATTTATTCTTTTATTAGCCAGAAGTTTCTGAGTAAACTTACAAATTTCTGAGGATTTGAAATGGTTCTGATATTTTCATTTTGATATTTTCAGAGATAATTATCCTTATTTTAAAACAGCTCCAGATGGTTGGAAGGTAAGTGTTTAATTTCTCAACCCTGATAATAAATCTCACCCAAACCTGGCAGACCCCCTCCCCCCACCCACAACCATTCAATTAAAAATTCAAATTCAAAAGTCATCTGGGGTTATTTGAAGTGGATTTTGAATTATCTGAAAGTATCCACCTGTTATGAGAAATACTGGACTCTGATTGGTTGATTTAAATCATGTGATAAGAATACACCTGTTGTCCTGTAGCCAGTATCAAATATAATAGTCTTTTATATCTCAATATATTGGATTATAGTCTATACAATTTCAAATGTTTTTAGAAAAAAAATACAATTTGATCATTTACAAAAGAAAATTTTTCAAACATGTTTGTAAGATGAGACATGCAGGATACATGTTTTTCATATACAAAGACTCAGACAAAGGAGTAGATATTTTAAGACAATGGGCCTTAATAAATTTTTGTCAGATACAGAGGGCAATTTTATAGGGCAATATAAATGTATGATATATCTACTATGTATAATGATGAATATGATATCATAACTAGTAATTATATAACCATAACTACCACTTGTTGAATTATTAAATACAATGTGAAACAATGTTTTACTTTGTTCTAGAGATCTGTTGATGAAAAATTCCTTTGTTTGCTATCTCAGTCAACAGTGGGTAGGGTTCAAGGTTTTCTGAAACATTCATTCTGGCCTCAAACTTTTGGTTCAGACTGTTCAACAATCATTTGATAATACAAAGAATTGTGCATAAGACCTCATTCTAAATTTCATGTTTTAAACAATTTTTTGTCATTAATGATTTTATTGAAAAATTCTAAAAACAATAATGCTCACAACCCAAATTTTCAGTCAAATTCAAATTAACAAAATTGCATATTTTTGATATTTGAGGATAAACAGACATTTCTAATTTATTTAAAAAAGGAACAATTTTTGTGACTTATGCATTTTTTCCAAAATTGAATTATGTCTCTGTTCTGTTTATCCAAAAGCTTTGATCATCCAATTTCATCTCTAAAACAAATGAGCAATTGTTAATTGTTTAATTAATTATAATGATAGACACAAGGTAATCTTCCCTGTCATCTATAAAATTGCATTGATCATCCGATATAATGGTTAGGTAATATTTGATACAATAGTACCTCCAGTCCCCACTCCGTTTTTCTATAATAAGGCCTTAATTATGATAATAATTATATCCCTTATATGAAATGTCTAGAAAGATTTGCAGCCTTTTAGATTTTTCCCATTATTAGAAAGCAATATCATAAAATGTTAACAATGAAAAAAATAAATCAACAAAACATAGCCACCAGTTATGGATTTAGTCCACACCACAGGCTGGATTTGACATCACTGCTAATTGGTTTTAATCATTGAAAGGTTTTAACACCCAATTTTAATCTTTTAAAATAAATCTGTTTCTTAATTAGACTACTAGATTGTTAGTACCTCTTGAATGTTTCATCACCTTTATAAAATTATTTTATCACCTGGTTATTTCACATTAATTCTCTTTAATACCTTACCAATCCCAACTTTACTAATAGTCTTGGGATGACATGTCCTCAAATCTCACAATCAAGATAAGGCATTCCCACCTTTCTAATTTCTACAGGTTGATTTACTACTTACTAATTGACCTTCATGTTTGGTGACATTTGACTGTTCATTTCCTGCAGCAGTAGTTAATCTCTCTCCTAAATTGCCCTGAAAGTCTTTCTGTCAAAAAATTTTTACTCTAAAAACCTAATCTTTACAGACTGGCTGAAAATTTTACCTTTATAGATCTTTTTTAATATCAAATTTTTTACTCCAAATACTATTTTAATATAGTTTGTACTATTATATTGCAAATATGCCAATGATGTAAATGATTTGTGTTTTTGAGTCAATCTCTCAAGAATTGGGGAATTGAATAGTATACAGTCTATTATGTCTCCCTTGTACATAAACTGAAAAAATCTTTATTTGGGATTAAGATTAACTTATAATCCAAATTAATGTGATTAACATATTAAGTGTGATAATCTCCATCCCTCATCTATTCTGTTTACTCAGGCTACAATATTTTATCACCTGGTCACTTCTGAGCTCTTTCTTATATATCCTAAGGTATTAGGGGTTGAAACCTGTTGACTCTCAGAAACACTGCTATGGGCATAGAACATTTCTTATCTTGAGGAAGATTCTATATACTTAAGATTAAGTCCTTTGTCCTTCTACTATTTTGCACTATGGTTTTCGAAATGACAAACCAATTTTATCATGATTATTATTCTTTTTTTTTTTAACTTTCTCAATTGATTAAAATACCAATACAATATTGAGATCTCTCTGAGTTGATGTGTACCCAAGATGTAAACTTAGCTTCTAATTTATATTTCATAGATGTAATAGGTCCACTTCATTTATTTCAATATATCATTATTTTCATTTGAATTTCAGAATTCTGTAAGACACAACTTGTCTCTAAATAAATGTTTCCAAAAAGCTGACATCCAGAAGAATGCCAATAATGCTAAGAAAGGATGTTTATGGGCGTTAAACCCAGCCAAAGTTGAGAAAATGGAGGAAGAAATTGTGAAATGGAGGCAAAAAGATCCACAGACATTACATCACAGTATGGCTCATCCAGGTTTGTTACTTTAAATCATATTCATCAGGTAAACTGCGTGCATGAGCTTCATACAAACAGAATTATAACCATGTCCTGTCTCTCGATGGCAAATAATGATAAGTATAAGCTATATTAAAAACTAGATACAAAGACAGGTTAGGGCATTATTTCTGTAGATTTAATCTAAAGATTTTAACAAATTTCAAAGAAGTTACTGATAATAAATAAAGGAAGGTTATGAATTTATGGAAAGATTCCCTTACCATTGTTTCCCCTAGGATCTCTATTTAAAGCTACAAATTTATTACAATAACTGAAAATAAAAACAAACTCCTTGACTTTCTTCAAAAACAAAGTTATTACCCTGGACGATAAAGACACATCACTTCAAAATAAAGGAATAAACCCTTAAAATAATTAAACAATGAAATTAAGCCCCTGATACAACTCAAATTCAATAGGGTCAAATGTCTTACAATAATATTGAAGGGTGTCAATTGTTGTATTGACAAATAAGGAGAAATTTTAACTTTTTGAATGTCCAGCCCCGATAATATAACCTTGGGGGTAAGGGTTATTATAATTAGCCATAACACCTGTTTTCTGGGGGTAAGAATAATATAAAATCAGACCCCTGATCTTTAAAGGGCCGTTTATACCTGATTACCTTTAATTATAGGACAGGTGTCTAGCTGGACAATGGTTTGAGGGGTGAACTGGACAAATGTTTGGGTTTAACTGTACAAAGACCTGGGGTTTCTCGATAATGCTTTTGGAGTTTTCGAAAACTGTCAAAAGGAAATCTTTGTATAAGTGTGCAAAGATTTGGTGTGATAATATTGTATTTGAACTTGACAAAGGATTGGAAATTTTTGGTGCCAGTCGACAAAAAAAAAAAAAGCACATGAATATAGAGATTTGTGTTGTGGGGTTTGTTGAAATGGGCATGTTTTATATCAAATTGGGCAATCTACTTCCCTAAAATGAGGGATCAGAAAAGTATAATAGTCTTAAATCTGATAACAAATTAAATCCCCTTCCCTCTCCCCCCTTAAAGTAAAGTTATGACGGTCAGGTAGATTGCTGTACAAACTTGATATTAAAATGACTAATCCTCTCCTCCCTTGTTATAATGCTGTAGGATAACTTGCTGCATGACCCTGATATTAAAAAGACTAATCCCCCTGTGGTCACTGCCCTTACAATAGACCTGTTGCCTTTCTTTATTCTAGTCACACGTCACTGATTAGAGGGTTACAACCTCGCCTCCTGTCCCCCGTTTTAATTTAAAATAACTTTATTCACCTGGATGGGTTGTATCAATGGGGGAGCTGAAGTTAAGATGCACAGGTGCTTTTTAAATTGGTCACTTTGTATTTGTGGCTTTGCAAGATGATTTTATAACTATAGATTATTTTAATGAGGAAAAATTAAAATTATTATAAGATGTCTTCAGTGTTCTGAAAATAAATGTAAATGTTTTCTATGTTTTTTTTTTGCAATGAGTAATTTTGTTTTTAAAGAAATCTAAAAATTTTCTTAAATATTGTTAAGTTTGATGTATATTTTGGAGCAAAATATTTGAACGATTTAAAGTAAAAAACTGGTTAGTTAATAATTAATACCTGAAGAAATTAGATAGGGATGTCCTGAATTAATTTACATAAATGTCACAATTAACATATATATTAGTATAATAGTAATTAGCAATGATGTAATACAAAGAAAAGTTATTTGCTAATTAGAATAATTACAATATTTAATGATAGTTACATCTATTGATTGTTCTCCAAGAGATGTTTCAGTTTCAAATTATGATCACACATGAACACTTTTATCAGTAACATGTACAAATATTAAAACAGAACCTGAAATATATATTTATGTTCTGTTTAAAGGGGTCATTCCGCTTTTTTTGTAAAAAGATTTTCATGGTCCAAAAGGCATAAATTATACATGAAAATATTTATATCTATGTATCTTCTGGAACAAACTGAAATTGTTTTAAAAGGGTTAATTAAAAACGAGAGTACTAATTGTTAAGTAAGCAGTTAAAACTAGTTTGAGTATAAAGGCTAGATAATTTTAGTTCAAACCTTATCCAGAATAAGTAGGAACATTTATTTTTCTACGATTAAGCATTTATTTTGATAAAATCTGTGCACTCAGTTTCCAACACCAACCAAAAAACAATTTTGGGGATTTTTGAAAGAATTATACTCATTCCACTGTAACACAAAATTAAGCAGGATTTCATTTAAAGATACAACTACAAAGTATTTAATAACAGTTTGAAAATAAACAATTTCTGCAACAGAACAGAATCAAATTTTATACAAAATTGTCAAAAACAAAAATGATTTCACTTTAAAGATATAAATATTTGGATAACAGTTTGTTAGACATTAAAGAAAATTTGGTTTGTTTGTAACATTGTAAAATTTACACATCAAATATTATCTCAAGTTTTATTTTTGTCTTTTGTTGACAACCTAACAGTTTTCTGTAATTAGATTAAGATCATTTGTAATTAACAAATTGGTCTTTGTTATGTATTATCTGTAGGTAAACATCAAAGGTAAAATGCCCTACATGGGGTCTACATCTTGCTTGGGGGTTCAACTAATTATTTTAAGGTTTTTAACAGTTTTTCAAGAAGGGATTGTTTTAGAAGGAAAGGTACATCTTTGTGTTTGAGTTGTTCATTGTTGAAATAAATAATGAAAGAATTAACTGTGGTCTTAATTACGAGTGATGTAATTAGTAATTAGTATTTCATTATATTTGCCCCTGGCAAAAATCTCTTCTAATCATTCAGATGGCAAAAAAAAATAATTTATATTTTCATACAATTTTCCACTAATAATCAGTAGGATGTAAAACTTCACTCATTTCAATTTCCCACTAATAAACTTATTAAAATGCAAATTGGATGTTTTGTTTTCTCTAAGTGATTGATTCCATTTGCAATATGTAGTAACCTTCAGATAAAACATGAAATAACACATTCAGATATAGAAATACAATACATTAATGCAGGGTATAATTTCTAACAACTATTTAATTTAATTTTGATTTTTTGATTGTCAGAAATTCTGCATGAAAAATAATTGGTTATGATAAATATAATATTTTAAACAATGGTTTTAATTGATTCTTGTAATTTCAGAGAGATTAGAACTGATCGAAAGTGGAAAAGCAGGAATTGGAACATCAAAATCCAGCAGCAACGCATCTTCAAGTAGCATCCATACACCAATCACAGTTTCTATACCAGATACAACCGTCCATTCCTTGACAATACAACATCCCTCAACTCCCAAACGACACCCGGGTACACCCACTCGGTTACCATCTACCCCAACCCATCATCAATTAACACCCACCCGCCATCCGTCTACACCCACACACCATCCCTCTACCCCAACACATCACCCGTCAACCCCAACCCACCACCATTCTTCACACAGCCACCAGCATTCAGATGTTTTTATGACAGACCTACATGACATCAATCTAAATTCTCAGTTTGGAGATCCAGCTCTATCAGAGTTAGCTGTAAGTTTTATTTTGTTCAATTTAAAGATGTTTTTATTCAATGTGGGCATAAAAGGCTTTGAAACTTTTGGACTTTTAGAATCTTAAAACCAGAATTTTAAGAAAAGGGAAATATAAAGAATTGTGGTGTTGCATTGAACATTTAAACAAAAACATTAGACTCATTGCACTGATTGATATATCTGACAGGGTGTCAAAGTGAGTTATCTGGCAAAGCTAGAATCTATACTATATACCGGTATTAAAATAAATCTTAAATACTCAACATCAGATGAATGGGTTAAATATGAAACTAATAACTAGAGAGATAAGCTATTGACATTATATTCATTTTGATATTTTTGTTTTACAGAGTGGATTATGGGATGATGATATAAATTGTGACCTTGGCCTTGAGCTGACCAATCCTCCATTGTGTATAGCCACAGTATCGTCACCGATGGGTTCGTGTAATTCACCGATACCTCACCAACCTTCTACGCCATCAGGTAGCCTGTTAATATAGGTAGATAATTTACCTCGAATCGGGGGTAAAATATTATACTTTATCAGCCATCGTATTCTGATCAAAACTTTTGATAAAATACTGGAAAATGAATCAAAATTTATCAAAATATAAAAATAATAACTTAATGGATGTAAACTAATTTATAGATGCCGATATTATTTGTATCATGACATTATTGGTTGTAACTGAAGCTAAGAAACTGAATGGCAGCCTAAGCTCTACTAGTTTTATTTCATAACCTAGGCCAGTGCTCTCACCACGTAACACCAGGTGGTAAAGTACAGGTTCCCCACAGGTTCAAATGAATGTGATGAATAGGCCTATATTATAATTTAGAAACATAAGACATTAAGAAAATAGTTGTCGTTCAAAAACTTTTGACAGAATAAAATTGTGGCTGATACAAATTTAAAAAAAAACATATTTACTTTCATGTGAGGTGATTTCTCAATCTAAAATTTTTGTCCAAAATCTTTAATGATTTTTTTCTCAGTTTTTTAGTGAAATATTTATTTAAAGGAAGGAATCTTTTTTCAGAATCCAGTTTAATTTTGATTGAGTTTAACAATATGTTTTTTATATTTTTCAGCGGGATATTTTGATGACCGTACAAGTTATCATGGTACTTGTTTTTACACTAGTCCAGTACAACTCGGTTCCCCGTCCAACATTCCAAACACCTTCCTGTACGCTACACCCTCCCCTCGAACATTGTTTGCTTGAGGATCATGAGGCTTGAAAGGTACCGCACTTGCACTGATTTTGCTACTGCTCTAAGAACATGGCAGAACTGATTTTTATGGAGATCCGTGAAAGATGTTCTCATGAACCACTTGCTGCTGCACTGGTTTTCTGCTGCTCTGAGTACATCAATTTCTGAGGGATCACATGGCAGAGACGCTGTACTGATGGAGATTTGTGAAAGTTGTTCGATTGAAGCTCCTGAAAATG